ATACAAAATAATTTAAAGCAACATTCTATCATTAAATTCAAATATAGACGAACCTATTAAAAGAATATTTTTTTGGAAAATGGAAAAAATTTAGTTTTTTTTATTTTATTTTTCTGGAAAATTAAGAACTACACTATAAAAGAACATTTAAAAAATTTTTCTGTATTTAAAAAAAAATTCAGATATTTTTTCTCGATTTTATTTCTATAGAAAATTAAGAATTGTAGTAATAGACATTCGAAACGATATCAAGTTTTAGAATGATTGTAATTAATAAATAACTTGATCGTGGATAAAATGCTTGAAATAGCTCACCAAGCAGAAATGCAATCAAAAGAAATGTTTAGATTCCAGGATTCTTTATTTCATGGAAAACGAGAATTAAAAGGAGAGCAAGGAAGAATGCAACTAATATCGTTCTCTTAGTAGCTTATCGCTCTGTGGATGCGTGCCATGAGTCAGAAGACTAGAGGAAATCTTTGGTGCGAATAAACGCAAATACGAAGCGCTTATGCCGGCCGAAACAATGCAACCGTTAGTCCCTTATTTTGGTCAAAGAAAATAATAATTCCTAATCCCTTTGACCAAGGATCGGATCCATACGATTCTTGAAAAGAATAAATAGTGCCGATAAAGTCAGTCGATTAATAAATTATTTCTATTCATGGATGAATTTTATTGCTAACAATGTGTACGTGTATGCGCGCGCGCGTGTGTGTGTGTGTGTGTGTGTGTTTGTGTGTGTCTATACATGTATGCATTGAAAATATATTTACATTGATAGATAATAACAATAAATGTATTGTTTGTTTTACAATTTTTAGTGTAGTGCTAGGTATTTTTATGTGCTGAGCGAAATTGTGAAGAGATGCCCAGCAAATGAGAATAAATTAAAATAGATTAAAATTTTTTTCTATCCGAATGCGTATTTTAAATAGCGAATAGCTTTTTTTTGGATTTAATTGGATTCAATACGATTCAATTTGATTCAATTGGATGCAATTAGATTGAAAAACTGCATTCCTATTCAAAATTTTGAATTGAACAGTATTCACAATTGTGCACAGAAAAAGCTAATATTATTTGTAGATTGAAAGGCATAGAGATATGTTCCATGCAATTCCTATAAATGAATAAAAATGCATTTTCAGAATTGAAAAGCATTCATTTTAACATTGAACCAGTATTTCTGAAAATCTGAATCCATTTCAATTCATTTCAATCCATTCTCATTTGCTGGGAAATCAAATACATCGAGATACATAGTTTCTGATAGATTGAAATCATTTATTGTTTGTTCTTAATTCCTTATTCCTTTTATTGTGCGCAGGGCCTAAGAATTTCAACTTATTAGAAACTGTGTATTTCATAATACATGATTTCTGATAGGAAATTCTTATTCTTTGTTTCCTGTTCCTTTTATTGTGCGAAGCCCCCAATAGTATTTTATGAGTGTGTTTCCATTTGCTGTACAGTATCCAGTACAATATCCAGTAGTCGCCATATTATGGTACTGGGAGAAGCGTTCCCTTTTTCTAGTAAAAAGTTGCAATAAAAACATAACCTAAATTTCGCTACAGAGAACCGTTTTCTTGAGTTTATTTATTTATGAATATTGCAATCAAGCTGAGAGGTATTATCTTGGCCTTTTGACACAAATTATTAGATTCATATTCAATAATAACAATTCATCTATATTTGCATTGCTCTCAGAATCACTTGATTTGTTCGTGTCGCATGCTCCAACTTAAGAGAGCATTTACTGGAAGTTCGTGTCATATGTTCCAAATTAATCCAGAGATCATTTAAATCACTGGTAAGATGGCGATTGGAGCAGTTGCATTCATGTACTCCAACGACACGAACGGATTTAGGACAAGTGAGCATGTCCGTGAGACGACTCGACGGATTGGACATGTGCCTCGTTTTGTTTCGGATATTTTGTGTTAATTTGCGATAATTTTTATTATGTATCATATGTTAGTTCGTTGACATTGGATAGGATTATATAAATTTTTTTCTTTATTATCATTGATGAAGATTTTATAAGTCTTGAAATGTTTGAAATTTATAACGTTATACGAATGTAATAAAAAACGTATTTTATTAACTACATTTGCTCATTTTTTTTAAAAAGCCTTGACATTTTAATTTATTGTATTACATTTCATGAGTCTACTTTTCTATATAAAAGTTATATTATATTTTTATATTATATTATATT